GATCAACTGTGTTATCAATGAAGAATTCACTAGACTAGAGTGATACAAATTGACCGGTTCTTCTCCCATTTCATTTTGGTTTCTTAGGTTATAGAGTCAAATCAGGTATATCCAATTTTGGCATTCCAGTCTTTAACCAGAAACAACTCATTTTGCTTGCATGTTCTGTCAGTTTCAGATCTATATACTAAAACTCTATAATCTTTAACTGGGCAAAACAGTGCAACATAGGGCAACAATTTTTGAACCAAGGTAGGTCAAATAATCTAACCAACAGAATGCATCCAAAATCTGGGGCTCATAACTCCCATGGGATTGAAATTTGGCAAATCTGTGGTTGCTTCAGTGCTGCTGTGAGGTTCAATAGACCAATACAACCTAGTCTTTGAAGACCGTGTAGAGTGGTCTCTTATATTGCTGTTGCCCAATATAGGTGCCTGATTGATTTAGCTGTACAGTTTGCATTGGGTGATCCTGCTGGCATACTCCTCCCTGGAAGATCTCATGAGGTCATGCAGCAGAATTTAGGAGACATTATATAATATCCATGTCTACATTTTATAGTACATAACCATCCACTGAAGTACATTTCAAAAGCAAAGATAATTTGTCAGAATCGATATCTAACAAGTTCCACCAAACTATGTCTTACAATTTCTTAGAACCATATCTAACACATACTTACATTTGCTAAATCCTACCTTAAATATAATCTACATATTCTAGAGGCAATTAAATCTTATAGTTTTATATGAAAATTTTTTATCAGTAATCATAATAAACCTGATTACTGGTCTATTCATATCAGCAATATATTTCATCAATTAAATAATAAAATATTCCATAGACGTTCATAAGATTTATAATAAAGCCCACAAGGCAGGGCTAGCAACCATTTCAGACCAGAGATGCCACAGAAGAGCCTAGTCTTTCCAATAAAATTTCCCCAGCTCCAAATATAAATTCATGGACAGATAAGCTAATTGTGTCAAGCCATAGCAATTGCAATTGCAATAGCACTATTGCTTCATAGTGCTTTACAGCCCTCTCTGAAATGTTTTACAGAATCAGGATATTGTCCACAACAATTTGGGTCCTCATTTTACCGACCTCAGAAGTATGGAAGGCTGAGTCAACCTTGAGCCAGTCAGAATCGAACTCCTAGCAGTGGAATGCAGAGTTACCCTGCAATACTGCATTCTAACCACTGCACCACCACGGCTCTTAGTCTGTTTTAACTATGATTTGTTAAATAATTCTTTGTGTCACTAATTAATGAAATGTAGTTTAGAACATATTTGGATTCATCCGACCTGCTAAACAAAACAAGCCATGTTATTGTCAGCATTGTGGGCAAACTGTGCCTCTGAAAGCTCTTTGATAAGTCACAAGTCTCACCGTTCTTGATTAATCATCAAATTTGTAACATGGAATCAATGCAGTTTATCCTACTGGACAGTTAAAAGGATTACTGAGACATAAGAACATAAAAGCTCCTGCTGAGTCAGGCCACAGACCCTTCTAATCTACCATTCAGTGTCACAGAATAGTCATTTAGGAAGCTCCTGAAGCTGGGTTGTAGACCAGTAGACCTTTCTCAATATCACTTCCTAACAGCTACTAGAGGCATTACTGTCCAAGATTCAGGAGGGAAATAATCATCATTATTAAGAGTAATTGATTGCCAGATCCTTTATGAATTTGCCCAGCTCCCTTGTGAAACCATCCAAACTGATTGCCATTTCCACAATAGCAAACGCTACCCATTTTATTACGTACCATGTGAAGAAAGACATAAATACATAAATATGATCTGAAAGTTCTCTGCATCTAGTTGCAATTGATAACCCTGAGTTCTAAAACTGTGAGAGAGGAAGAAAATATAGTATATGAAGCACCTTGAACACTCTTGTGCTTTAGAAATGTTAATCATTCCTGTTTAATCACCACAACCACATAACATTTGCTTTCATTATCTGTTCAGTTAGTTTACATCGACAGACAGTTGCTACTAGGTGTGTCTGTGTCTAGGCCGAGGGCGATTGGCTTTTTCTCTAGTTTTTTCCATATTTACTCTTGCCTGGGCACTGCTCCATGGGTGCACCCTCCCTTGGCCAGCAGGCAAGTGGTTCTACAAGGGTGTGTCTCTTGAGTTGGCACTGCTTGGCAGATTGCCTCTCTGAGCTGGCTAGAGCCAGACATGGAGCTGTTTTCTACCAGTCAAACAGGTTGACTAACAATTGTCGGTAGAGTTTTTTTCCTTTTTGGCATCCGAATAGTATCTCTATGTCCTTTTTATTGGTGACTGAGTTCATCAATGCCATCGCACAAATGAATGAACCATTAGATTCAAAAGTCATTACGAATATCCTCAAGCTGACACATTGTAATCTGAATCGGTATACAGTTTCTAGAACAGGCTAAATGCTGAATCAGAAGTTTAGTTCCAATTTTACCTCTCTCAGAAACTTACTAAATATTACCACTTGGCAAGACATCCAAGTCTCCAAATGTGCAATAATAAGATTATTGATATTGATAACAGTATTGATTTAATATACAGATCTATTTCTTCAGATTTTATACTATGTTGAGCCTTTCCATTTAACTTAAAAGTTTACAGTACAATCTTCTGCACTGATATTCTAGTGTTTATGTAACTTATCTGTTGTCACTTTGACCTGTGTGTTAAGCCTCCTAAAAATCCCAATTGTTTTTTTTTTGTCCATTCTCTGATCCACACAAGTCTTCTCATTTTTAGCTTTGAAACTACCATATTTTCTTCTTCTTTCCATTCTAGTACAGTTCTTTTCCTTTTTTTTTTTTAAAAAAAAATTGATTTATATGCCGCCCTTCTCCGGAGACTCAGGGCGGCTTACAATGCGTTAAGCAATAGCCTTCATCCTTTTGTATATTTATACAAAGTCAGCTTATTGCCCCCACAAACTGGGTCCTCATTTAACCTACCTTAGAAAGGATGGAAGGCTGAGTCAACCTTGAGCCTGGTGAGATTCGAACCTGCAGTAATTGCAGGCAGCTGTGTTAATAACAGGGTGCTTTAGACCACTGTACTACCAAGGCTCTTTTCCTTTTGCCCATCCAACCCATTCCCTTCAATTGCTTATTGCCTGAAAAACTTCATTCTTTCTTGTCAAGTCTCCCTTCTACTAGGAACCTCTTCCCAAAATGTCTCCATAGGCCTATCTCTCCTTCCTCTGCATAATTCATTTCTGGAAAATCTATTAAATACCGTAGCTAGTATCCTGTTTTAAGTAAGCCAAAGCAAATGTAATTAAAATAATAACATGTTCTTTTCTTATTTTCTCATAGTTCTTACCTGTTTTGACAGGGCAAGTTCCTTAGTTTAAAAGTCCTTAATGCATTTTTAGGAAAGATGCCTTCCACAGATACATGGTATGGTGTCATACAGCCTCTTAATAGGTGAAAATTACTACTGCTGTGGGAAAACACCAGCAAAACCTGTTTAATGTAACGAAGTGAACTTGCAAGACTGTGTATATTTAGATAACACATTCATTATGTTGTATGGCCTAAGAATAAATCCACATTTTCACACAAATTTCTCTGTGCAACTTGCCAACTACGGTACTACAGATGCTAGATTAGTATTTGTTTTAGAACTCTTGTAATATCTGTCAATGACTCCCACCCTCATTAACCAGGAAAACAAGCCTAAACAAAAATTGTGGGCAGACAATGGTACTGTAAACAACATAAAAAAAATAAAAATAGCCATTTGTTTTCTATGTGAACTGGCAGGCAGGAACCAGACACCATACTAAATGAATTTGCAGCAACTATAAATCACAGTGACTATGATCTCTAAACATAGACAATAACCCTCCTCCCAAATCAGTTCTTCCTTCAAATCAGTTTCTTCCCTCCAAGAACCTATGGATGTGCCAAAAAAATAATAATTTGGAGAATGTTTAGTTCATTCCCAGAAGAAATACTCCCAGAACTTTCTACGCCACTTGAGTATAAAGTAACCAACAAAGCAAAATAGGAACGTTGTCAAAATATATAACCCAGTTTTCACAGCACAGGAAGTTCCAATCTGCAAATCAGGCTTCAACACTACTAATTTTTGTACACACAATCACAGATGCCAGATAAATTACAGTGTCTGAGATATCACAATGCTTTCCCCACTCCTGTGATCCTGAATTAGCAATATTTTAATGGACTGCAAGGGAACAATATACAACAGCAGTAACCATTCTTTTCTTTTACAGCATCTATCATGTAACTCAGCATCAGGCAAGCAGTGCAGATTTTTTAAAGTATGACGTTTTGTTTTATTTGTCATCCCTATTTTTGTTTCTGCTTATTTTGCTTTTATTGTAATAGTAATAACTTTTTTTAAAAAAATTGTCCATGAATATTTATTTAGTAGGGAATCTAGTTTTTAAAAATGTTATTAGTGCGCAATTCAGTTCACCATTTGGATTAGCCGATTAAAAACTGAGCATCGTCGTGATTTGCTCTTTCCTTTTAGCCACGGGTGCGCTCCCTCCCAAAGCCTGCAGCACCTAGCTCACCTCCAAATGTGCTACCAAGGTGCAATTTTAAATGTGCCTTAAAGCATTACACCCAGAATTACATCAGTTGCACTTATTAATGTAATCGGTGTTTTCATTGTCCTGATTCATACGCTTTTTTTTTTTTATCCTGTCCGGTTTTTGCACCCCATTCCAGATCGCCAAAGGTGGCCCTAGCCTCGAGATGCTGGTGGTTTGCGGCCACGAGTCCGAAAGACCTCTATACATGCCCAGAGGCGCTTTTCTCCTCCCTAGAGTTTGGCCCAGGGTTTAGAAACAGTCTTTGGTGGCGGGAGAGAGCCGGCGGTGGGGGCGACAGGGCTTCGTTTGAATGGAGCTAGGCGGGAGCTGGCGGCTCTCCCTCCTGCAGCGGCGTGTAAGAGGAGGAGGAGGAGGAGGAGGCGCGGTGAAGCAGGCGAGGCCTGCGCGCCGGAAGTGAGCGCCGACTGCGGGAGAGGAAAAATCCCGGCCGGCGGAGGGGCTCGCCGACGCTTGCGGTGGCTGCGGTCGCGCCGAGGGAGCGCGCGGCTGAGAGGCATCTCGCGCGGGGAGGAACCTTCGTCTGGCTCGGCTTCGAGAGAGCAGCGCAGCCACAGCGGGAAGGGAAGCGAAGGAAAGGGAGACAAGCAGCCTGCTCCGCCACTCAAGCCAGCGGCCGCCGGTAGCAACAAGGGCGTTAGGAGAGGAGGAGGAGAAGGAGGAGCGCCGCCACCGTCGCAGCCGTGAGCACTCTCTTTCCTTCACCCGGGAAAAAGGAGGGGAGGGCAAGACGAATCACCCCGTCTCCCCATTTTCGCCTTTGGAGGCTTCGCGAAGGAGCGCCTGCCGTCTCCAGGCGGTCGAGCCCCGGGTGGGGTGACGAAAGCCGAGCTAGGGTGGCTGCGCCGCTGCTTCGGACCGGAGAGGCTGCCTTAGGCGGGCAACTAAGGTGCCGGGTGAAAGGGGAGCCTGGGATCGGGCTCTTTTTTTTTCTTTTTTTCCCTGCCTCGGAGGTGGGGGGGGGGGGGGAACACCCATTTTCTCCCGACTGGGTAGGGCTTACAAGCCCATTCATTGAACTGACTCCCGGGAGAAGAATGCAAATGGCCCACTCCATTTCTCCCTGAAATCTTTTTTAAGAAATACACAATTTCAAGAAACGCAGGAGCCAGGTCGAAGGCTGGTTGTCGTGCAGACTCTATATGAGGAGTGGGTTGAAGAGCGCTGGGGTAGTTACTGCGCATGTGCATATGGAAATAGAATCCCTTAACCACCCATAGAAGAGATACTATACTGGGGAGGGGGGGTGTTAATTATGCCTTCATGAGTAGGAAGGGATGAGCAGGAAGGGATAGGCTTGAGGGAAAGAAACATTATGTCCTTTTCTCGTTTATGAGTGCATTAAACCACTGCCTGTGGATCCATCTTCTCCCCTTTCACGCCTTCCTTCTGGGAGCAGTTAACGTTTAATGGGTTTGCCTAGTCTCTGTTTGGGCCCCCTCCTGTCTGAAATCTCTTCCAGTGGCATTCGTAGTGATAGCTGTCAAACAGGCAGAGAGAGATTCAAGCGGAATAATCAAAAAGCAAATGCCACTTGCAAAAGGGTTTGTCCAGCACTGAGGCAGAAAAAAAAAGATTGTTACAGTGCTGAGATACAGAGATGTTGCTGCTTCCAATGAGACTCCACCCTGTGGAGCTTGAATGAATATAGTTTTCATCCCCAGCTTCCAATAAATATATCTAAATTTGTATGGAATTATTCAGGAATCCAACACGGGTTAAGTGATAAAAGTTAATAAGAGTTGATTGCTATGTACCATGCCTTTTAGAATGCCTTCACATAGCTGTTTTTAAAAATAATGATAGGCTAGGTCACTGAAATATCTTGAGATTGTAGCTACCCTGTTTCCCCCAAAATAAGACATCCCCTGATAATAAGCCCAATCGGACTTTTGAGCGCATGAAAATAAGGCCAAGTGCTTATTTCAGGGTTCAAAAAAATAGGATCTTATTTTCGGGGAAACACGGTAGTTACCGGTACTTTCATTAAAGCTAAGATGTTATTGACTAGCGAAAATTGCTGGTAGTGATAGAGAAATAGATTATTGTCTCTTAATATTTGACCTTGACAGTGATGATTTTTGCAGTAATATAGTAATGTTGGCATGTGCAAAAAGGAATAAAATGAAGTTTTTAGGTAAATTTAATTTAGAACAGTTTCTTGAATGCAGTTAACCTAACTTCCATAAGCCTGTATACAGATCATCTGTAAAATAAATTGAAATTTAAAAAAAACTGCTTAGTTTCTTAACAGTTTCTCTTGGCCAGTGGAGCTGAAATTAATACACAAATGAATGCAGATAGACATGTCCCAGGATAATGTTGCAGGATCCAATCTGGGTCGGTTAGTGGGTTGGACCCAGATTGGATCCTGCAAAATTTAATACAGATTTATTACAGGACAATAATTATAATAGAATTGGAAAGTAGCAGAGAAAAAGCCTCAAAATAAAACTATTAGTTGCATCAGTAGTGTACGCAATTAAAAGGGAAAATTAAACATATTTAGCTGGGGCTGAAAAATAGTGCTATTGCCTTTTCTCAGTTTGATATTGCATAGCCAAGAGTTATGAATGCAGAGGCTTTAATGCTTATGTCAGGTAGAAAAATATGGGAAGAGGTAGTACTTGAAACATTGCTATGAAGGCTAGCACTAACATTTTGATTTTGGATGTGAGATAACCATATTTTTCCAAAAGGAAGATCCTGTATTTATTTACTCTTCTACAAAAAGCAATATAATCTGCCTTCATTGTCACAATGTCAACAAATCTAAAATGATGCTTCTATTTTAAAATGATCATAAAATAATATTCAGGAGTATGTATGAACCAGGTTTCCTTTCAGTAAATACTAGACAACCTATGACCTGTTGGGTCATCCTGTGATGTGGCATAATTGGGCTGGCTATTTTTTTAACCTGAATGCTGGATGTTCATCATCTCGAGAGTATGTCATGTGACCATGGGACACTGCTATGGCCAGAAATGTGGGAATAAACTGGTCTGATCATGGTGGAAATTTCAATTCAATAGGAGTAATGGGCCCTGGGATCTTTTATGCATTCTTTAAATAAGGGGATTTGAAGTACATTATATCAAAACTTGTTGCAATATAATATACCAGGAGCAGGGAGCAACTTCTGACTTCCTGTTGGTTTCCCCATTGACTTTGCTTATGGGAAACTGTCAGGGAGCATTGAAAATCATAGTCATGTGATCGTAGCTGATCCGGGTGGTACTGCAGTAGCTAGAGGTTTGCCAATACAACTGATCTGAAAATCCGTGAAATTTCAATTCATTGGGAATAAAGGGTCCCAAAGTTTGTATGCATTCTTTAAATTAGCACATTTGAGGTATCTTGATTCAAAAATTGCTGCCCTATGATGCACCATTCCTGTTAATTGAAGGTTACAAACAGACAAATAGAGTTTAGTGGTATACAGATAGTTATTAAAACTCAGTTGCAGACACGGGGTAACATTTTCAGGCCATCTTCAAGGGCAACCCTACACATAATGTGTTGTGGCCATTTAAATGAGAAATTAGAGATCACAATCACGGATAACAAACTGTTTCCCTCTAGGAAAGATTGCAGCTGGTAACCAGTCTAAGTTGTTAAAGGCAGTCTATGTTACAGAAAATACTTCCACAACAGGCTGAACATCTATCTATATAGATTGATGAACCGCCCACTACCAATATTACAATTTGTCTGGATTAAAGTTTAGTTTATCAATCTTCAGGTCCATGTAGTATCATGATGATCAGGTACTTCCACTGCCTCGTCAGGAATTTCTAAAAAAAACAAACTGCTAGCACTGTATTTTAGATTATTGAACAACTGCACTTTCAGTAGCTGTTTAATATGTGATAGAGATTTGCAGAGCCCCAAAGAATAAACACCATAAGCTTGACCAGAAGTCCCCAAGTATGAGACAAGCCTCACAAAGCAATATTTTCATTGGACAAGTTTCCTTGAAAGGGTATCATGGCTGATAATATTGAAAGCTGTTGGAATACCAAGGGAATTTAAGAGGATTGCATTCACCAATCCCATTTGATGATGAACGCAGATGTGTTTTCAAAACTGTGCCTAAACATTAGTTGAAATATATTGGGGAAATCTATTTAATTTTAGAATGTTTTGGTATTTTAAATGGTATTTGTTAAAAAGTAGAGAAATACAAAAGAATTTTTTTTACATTAAATAGTGAATTAACAATAAAGAAACAAAACTTTTAAATATGTTACAGTAAGTGAGCTAAACACAATAATAAAATAATTAATAGAAGGAACAATCCATTTGATAAATATAAATACCCTATGTCACCCTCCCTATTTTGGCTAAGATCAACTGTAGTGGGAATATCTGGATGTAATCATTTATGAATCTTGCCAAATCCATGATAAAATTAACTTTAGACTTGAATATCCATAATCACAGTCATATATAGTTTGGTTGTACTGAATATCTTAAGCCAATATTAAAACTATACTTATGCCAACCTGAAAGTTTTAGAAATGTATAAAACCTCAAAATCTCTTAATCATTCAAAGATGTTACAGAAAGCAGATTAGAGGAAAGGCTACTTAGTACTGGACACATGATAAAATTAAGACTTCAAAAGGTTTATGTTTTTTGTCTAGCTTGATAAATAATTTATATGATTGTTTATAGTCTGCACAGTTATCGTTCCTTTTCCTCTTAATGCTCAAATTTAAAACTTGTAATCATACAGTGGAAAATGGATAGTGGGATTCAATTCATTATTGTGTGGAGGGATATACTGTATAGTATCATAGATTCATAGGTTGGGAAGGGGCCCTGGAGGTCTTCTAGTCCAACCTCCTTGCGCAAATCAGGAGACCTTATTCCATCACAGACAAATGGCTATCCAATCTTTTCTTAAAGACCTCCAATGATGGAGCACTCAGAACTATGTATATGTGACAAATGCTATATTAACTGTTGTTTCAATTTTACTTGCTGAAAAAAGTCTATATAAATGAAGGATGAAGAGAAGGATAAGAATGTGGAAAATGCTGAATCAGAATCTAGTGTCTCAAATGTGTTTTTTCCCCTCTCTCCAGGAACAGCCAACAATGTTGGCTGTTAATGTGCATATTTTGGCTTTGCATTCAGTATAGCGCACTAATGGTTTTGCTTGCTTCGCTTATCTTGCCAAATTGGTTCCAAACAGATATTCCAAGAAAAGAACAGTAGGGAATGGTTCCATTTTTTACGCATGTAAATAGGGCTGTATTGCTGAGCAGGACTACATTCCAATGTATACTTTATTTGGTAATAAGATGTAAATTTCACTGAATACACATGCATAGGATCAGACTACAAATATATTTATTTCTTGTGATATTTTAAAATATTTAGGAAAGCATACAAATATTAATTAATTTTATATTTTGATAATTGATAATACATATCTTTCTGTTCTATTAATATGTACCTAAAGAAACTTGGTATAGCGTTTATACCTTCAGCTAACATAATATTTATGCTAAAGTTGGCTATATCTAGTGTGCAGGATAGTGATCTATATGTGATGCAAACAAGTGGAGTGAGTGGCAAGGGATCAGAATGTAGCCTGAGTCAAATTTTAAATGGATTTTAAATTGGAATGTTTTAATTACGGCCAAAATTATTTAATTATTTTAAACAGTTT